CTAGGGAAAGCATGCATGAAGAGAAGCAGAAAGAGCTAGAAACAGAATCAGAGGAAGTTGTATATATTTTTGAGACAGTCTCATTATGTAGCCTAAGCTGGCATCAAATTCATGATCTTCCTACCTCAGTCTCTGAAGTTCTCCGATTATAGGCACCATGCCTGGCTTACATTGTATGTGTTTTTAATAAGAAAAATTAACTTCACACAAGTATGTGAAGTCCATTTTAGACATCTGAGAAGACAAAGATAAAACAAAAATAAAAATCCTCTCTAACCTACCCTTCAAGTACAATTGGTTACTGTTAATATTTTGGCATATATTGTTCCTGACTATTTTGTGCACAGAAGTATATTTATTTTTATAAAAATCTGATTAATTGTCTCTCTGATATACAGAAGTTATATCTGAAATGCACTGGGATGGGACAAATTATACAGGATTCTAGATATTCACACACAATGAGACCAAAAGAGGACACTCTCAGGAGAGGAACACTAAGGCACAATGCCTAAGTGCCTCTTCATATTTACATAAAATAATATAATACAAACTCTAAGATATGTAAACAAAAGACTTATTTTTTGTTTTTAGGTTTTAGTCTTCTTTACCTTCTATATGGTATTTTCATGTATATATCTTTGGGAAGATGGGGAGGGGACAGAACTCGAGGAAAGAGGGTGAGAAAGTGCAGCAGTGGAGCTCACTGGACATGATGCAAGTGAATTATACAACTCGTGGGTGGAATTGGGAGGGAGGGACTAGGAGAGACTGAGGGAATAGAAGACACTGTACAAAAGGAAATGTACTCATTACCTGCCTCATGTAATTATAATCCCTCTGTACATCACCTCTATGATAACAATAAAGTAAATTAATTTTAAAAATTGATTATTATATCCACACTAGACTGTAATTCTCAATGGTTACATTAGTGGCTGTTGTAATTACAACATTATTCATTTAATCTTTAGGCAAAATGTGTCAATCAGTCATTTAGGTAACATTTGATTTTTAGACCCATTGGGGTTCTGTAGCTGTGTGATTTTGGGAAAGCTAGTTTATCTGTGTTTCTGGATATATTTTTTGTAATCTGGCAAATGAAAGAGATAGTAGCACCAACTTCAAAAATGTTGTATCATATAAGATCACACACACCTACATATATATATATATATATATATATATATATATATATATATATATATATATATATTACTTAGCACAGTAACCAGCCCAGTAATTGTTATCACTAATTATTAGGGACATTAATAATATTACTAATGGTAATTATAAAGCTATGATTAATAGAGTGAGCTTTCTATGACTGTTTTTTGTTTAAGGGAGAACAGAGAGCAATTGATTTTTTTCTTGAGTAGAATATAGTATGCTGAGATCTGGATTTTTTTTTTGGTGAGACTATGGACTTCTGGTTAAGTCAGTTGAGCAGCTGAAGCTCAGCCTGTTTATCTGAAAACTGGGAACTAAAAGGGTCCTGGCTCAGAGCAGTTGTAAAGATCAGATGAGATAATGCTTGTGATACCCTTAACACCATTCTTGGCATATGAGAGGAATTTAATCAAGGTCAGCTGTTTATTCTTATTATTCATTACTACTACTATTACTCCATAATGATCCAGCCATGGAGGATAACAGGCTTTCCTCACATGGCAGGGTGGGGACAGATGGTAGTGGGTAGAGCATTTCTTGTTTCAATCACCTGATTACAAAGGAAGAAAATGATTTCAGAAGCAGACTTGACCAGGGCTCACATCCATCCTTTCCCAAGCCCTCTTCTCCATTTATAATATGGGAATGATGGCATTGCCTGCCTCCCAAGTGCTGCTAGGAGGTCTGGATGATTTAATGCGTATCTAACACCTAGCTCAAGTGCTCAGTTATTGTTGACTGCTAATTAGGAGTTACTATTGGTTGCTGATTTAGAGGTGTATAATAGATGACCAGAATACCTCTATCTCAATCCCTGAGTCCTCATCCTGTGACTACTTGATATCACCTAAAGCCTCTTCTCTATCAGAGCTCATATACACTGCTCCCAGACTGAAGGCTTAAGTGGAACTGATTCAAGAAGGCTAGAGGACTATAGCATGTTTCTGCTACTTCTGGCTCTGACCTTGTACCGAGTTGTAGAAAGCAGGCTGGAGCCCAGTTTATGAGACAAGTGCTCCTCTGGTAGGCTCAAAACTGATGTGATTTTCTTGCTAGCTGCCTGAAACCTGTGGGCTCTTGCTGTTGAGTCCACAAAGTGTGGCAGGCACACTGGTGACTATATTACCCTCTGTGTCTTTCACACAGGGGGCTGACCAGTGCTTTTCATTCTCAGGACTGCAGAGTCTTCTTCTTCAGCCCCTCCTTCCACTGCCTACCTTCTCCCACTCCGCTTTCCTTGCACTTGAACCTGTCTGAACTTCCTTGATGCTGCTCTCCTTGATCTCCAGCCCCAGTCCCCTTACCTCTAACACCCAGCCTGTGCTTCCTGGTCAGCCCAGTTGCAGCATCCAACTCCCAGGGCTCTGTGTTTGGCCAACTGCAGAGGGCATAAATGTCATTTCTGGAGCGAGGACCCTTGCAGTCTCATTTCTTAAACTGAATCAATCTCTTCTCTTTGGGGCGCTCAGAGGCGGGCATAACGGGGTGGGGCAAAAACTGATGAGACTGTCAGGGGTGAGGGAAAAGAGAGGTGGAGTTACGTAGGCCAAGAGCTAAAGCGGAGCTTCTGGAGGGCTGACAAGTGAAAGGCGGCCAGAGGCAAATGTCAGAGCCTATATAGAGGCAGGAATCTGGGACCAGAGAGCCAGAGCAAGCACTAGCAAGTCAGGAGCAGTGGGGCGGGTGGGCGGGCAGGCTGGCTGGCGGGCAAGAGGGGGGTGTGGCAGGGGATAGCTGAGGGAGATTGCCGAGAACAGCTGCTGGTATTGGGTCTTGTTGAAACGAACTGGCACAGGGTATAAGTCAATTGGCCAGACTAAAAGAGCGAGGGTGCAAAGGACACTCTATCCCTCCTCTCTGCCGCTGGCAAGGTAAGGTCTTTCTGAGTTTTGCCTAATGGGAAATTGTGGTATGTTCAGGGAGTTTTCTAAAGATGGGGGTGGAAGTCTATAGTTGTTCATTTTACTCACTTTCCTATTGCACTATCAGGGTAACCAAAGTGTCATCAGAAAGCCAATATTTCTTTTATTTCATCCATTCTTGAGGTTTTCCAGGTTGGAGATGGGGAAGAGTCTTGGTAGTGGGACCGAATAAGGGAAAAAGTTCATGAAGATAGTATTGCAAAGAAGAGTAGGGGGCTTTGGAGTTTCATGGGCGTGAAAATCTATGACTATAGGGAAATTATGAGCTTCTCTGTGCCTTCTTCTTTCTTATTTGCAAGGGGAAGAAAAAGGCTTTTTAATTGCTGCTGTTCTGGGGACTAAATGAGGTGATACAGGTAAAATGCCTAGCAGAGTCCTGGCCAGTCAGTGCATGCTCCAGAAATGTGTGCTACTTCCCATTATTTTTTGTATTATAGAGGCACAATGTCATGAGACTGATGACATTGTCTCAAAGTAACCAGTCTTCCACTTTTGGCATAGGCAGGCTTTGGGGACATGTCAATCTTTTGTAATGTCTGGATTGGTTTCCAAATTGTGTGTCAAAGAGCCTCTTGTGGGGCTGTTTATGGAGATGAGCCAGAAGAGGTGGAGCTCTTAGATTACCCACCCCATGTCATTAGAGAAACCTGAAATTTGCATATACTATAGACTAGGCTTCATGTAAGTCCTGGTCTTGTAGGTCAGAATGCAACCTTAGAACTGGCAAAAACTAGGCAACCCCAGGGAAAAGAGAGTTAAAGACATATAAAATGGGTCACAGTGACCCTCTTTTCTCCCCCTCTTCCTGGCTAATTTTAGAAAGCTTATAAAATTGAAATAATGATATCAATTATTGTAAGGCCCAAGTAGGATTTATGCTTGCAGATTTGCACATTACAGACAGTTTAAACTCTGTACAGTGCCATACATAAACTAAGTATGCAGTAGACACTAGTAGCAAAAATGCTGCTTGTCATTACTATTATTAATAATAACGATGATGTTAAGCAGGATTTTACTTTTGGAATGTTATTGTGAGTCACTGAATAGATTAATGCTCTAGCTTTCCTGAGGAGTACACTGAGAAACATCATAGTAGTAAAATAAAGACAAAAGTCAATCTCTGGATTCAGTGAACTTTATTAACTAATAATTATTTTCATGAAGGATTTCCCCATAGAGGTCTACCAGTACCTTGGCTGACTTGTGAGTGCTGTGTTGGGATGGAACATAACCTAGGGGCTTGCACTTTTGAAATTGGCCAGCAGGTGGTGCTCCTGCCTCATTTGAGGTTGTTGGCATTTTTTTTTTTTAATGAATTTTTTATTGTGAACATACTGTACAGAGGGGTTACAAGGGTTACAGTTACATGAGCAAGGTAATGAGTACATTTCTTATCAAGCATTGTTGCCTCCTCCTTTGTTTTTCCCCTACCCGCCCTTCCCTTCCATCTCTACAATTACCCTCCGCTCCCCTGCTCGCCTAAATTGTAAACATCGTTATTTGACATAGTGTCTTGTACATCTACTTATTGCAATGGGTCAACCTGTATCCCTATTCAAACAATTTGGCATTTATTTATTTATTTATTTTTAACAATTTGGCATTTTTAAACAGAGACTGCTCTGTAACTGGGTAGGATGATTTGAAAAGAAAAGATACTTGGAGCAATATTGACTCCAGCTTTAAAGTTACTTGTTGCTGCACAGTTTCTTCAACCTTGTAGGACTACCATACACAAAACAGGTCTCCACCACAAATCATTAATTTTTGTTTATTTTCCAATGTTTGTGACAGTACTTTTAACTTCTAATGTATTTCTTATTTACAGATTTTCTTGCTACTTGGCTTTGGGCAGGATTTCTGAGGCCATCATTTGAGGGGTTTCCTCCGTACTGTCCTGTGGTCATGGCAGATATGTCAATACCCTTACATTCACTGCGATTCAACACTATGACAAGGGAGGAAAATGTTGACCCCCCGAATAGAGGGACAACTTTTTCTAGATCAATGACAGAGACCAGAGCAGAGGTCCAAGTCCTGCAGTCTCATGTACAGTTGCCTGTAGTGTCAACCTCAGCCTCAGACCCTGGGGGGATAAGCACACAGATGATGACGTCTCCAGCTTTTGACAGCCTGTCCACACCTTTAATAGGAACATCAAACTCTGGAGCAGTTTCCCCACCACTAATGCCAGCCTCAGACTCTGGGACATTGTCCCCACTGCTAATGCCTACACCAGATTCTGGAATATTGTCCCCATTGCTAATGCCATCTTCAGACTCTGGGGCACTATCTCCACTGCTAATGCCAGCCTCAGATTCTGGAACATTGTCTCCATTGCTGCCTGCTTCGGACTATGGGTTGATGTCCCCAGGGATGATGACAATTCCTGACTTTGGAACAATGTCTACAGCACTAATGGCAACATCAGATTCTGCAGAGATCTTGCCATTGGCAACGGCAGCTCCATCTTCTGGGACACTGTCCACCCCTGGAATGAGCACCTCATCCTCTGAGGCAATGTCTACACCATTAATGCTGGCCCCAGATCCTGCGGAGATATCCCCACTCCTAATTCCCAATCTTAACCCTGGGGTGATGGCTCCACAGCCAATCACAGCTCCAGGCTCAGAAGCCATGTCTCCCTTGCAAATTACAGATGAGGACACAGAAGCAATGTCCAAAGTATTAATGACTGCGCTGGCTTCTGGAGAGATATCATCCCTTCTGATGTCAGACACAGATTCTGAAGTGATATCCTCATTGATCATGTCAGCTCTAAGTTCTGGAGAAACACCAGCCCAGCCAACAACCACCCAAAACTTGGATGAAATGTCTACCACACTGATGTCAGGCCTAGACTCTGGTGTCATGTCTTCACTGCTGATGTCAGCTTCAGGCTCAGAAGCAATGTCTGTACCACTATTGGCTGCCCCAAGTGCTGGAGAAGTACCCACATTACCAAAGCCAGCCCCAGATACTGAGGTAATGTGCCCACTGCTAATGACAGCCCTAACCTCTACAGTGATTCCCACCCAACTGATGGCAAATCCAGGGTCTGGACTGACATCCTCACTGTTAACACAAAGTCTAGACTCTGAAATCATGTATGTGCCACCAATGAGAGAAACGACCTCTACAGTGATGTCCACACAGCCAGTGAGAGCTTTAGACTCAGGAGCCATGTCCTCCACCCCACGAATGAGAGCCCCAGCCCCTGGAGAAGTGTCCACTCCACCATTGACAGTCACAAGCACTACAGAGATGTTCACCACAGCCTCTAGTGTGATGTCCACACAGATAATGATGGCTGAGACCCCAAGAACAATGTCCACAGGCTTTCCAAAAGCCACAGCCAATGGAGCAATGTCCACACAGCGAACAAGAGCACCAACTTCTGGAGTGATGTCCACACAGGCGGTTATAGCCTCAGACTCTGAAATGATGTCTGGGTCACAATCAATAACCACAGGCTCTGGGTCCATGACCACACAGCCAATCAAAGCCCCTATCTCTGGAACAATGTCCACGTCACAAATGAGAACCACAGCTTCAGGACTGACATCTGTACCACAAAAGAGAGCCTCGGCCTCTGAGACAATGTCTACTCCAGTAATGACAGCCACAGTCTCTGGATCACCATCTACACTATTAATGAGAGACACAACCTTGGGAGTGATATCTGTGCCACAAATAAAAGCTCCAGCCTCTGCGATATTGTCCAAGCCACTAACAACATCCAAACCCTCTGGAGCAGCATTCATAGAGCAAATGACAACTGTAATGTCTGGAGAGATGTCTACACAACTAATGCGAGATACAGCTTCTGGAGCTCTGTCCATGCCACAAATGACAGATCCAGCCCCAGGAGGGCTGTCCACACTGCCGATGGGAGCCACAGCTTCTGGAGTCATATCCACATCCCAAATGACAGCTGCTGTCTCTGGAGATATGTCCGTGCCTATAATTAGAGGCCCAGGTCTTGGAGCAACAACTACACTAATGAGAGCTACAGCCTCTGGGCCAATGCCTAGTCAGCCAATAAGCATGCAAGATTCTAGAGGGCTATCCACATCCATCATGAGAGCTATGGCATCAGGAGAAATGCAGATGAGATTGCAGGCCTCTGGAGCAGTATCCACACCAATCATGAGAACCTTGGACTCTGGAGAGATGTCCACACTGCTGATAAGAGCTTCATCTTCTGAAGAGAGGTCTCTGCCCCTAATGCAACCCACAGCTTCTGGAGAGATAACTATGCCTCCAACAGCTCCAACGTATGGAACAGTCTCAGCTCCACAAATGACAGCCACAGACTTTGGAATGATGCCCATGCCACAGATAAAAGCTTCGGCCTCTGGAGCAATGTCTTCCCCATTAAAGAGACCTGCAGCTTCTGGAGGGATGCCTAGGCTGCAATTGAGAACCCCAGGCCCTAGAGCAAGGTATACCTCACACATGACACCCACAGCTTTGGGAGATATGTCCATACTTGGAATGGGATCTACAGCCTCTGGAGAGATATCCTCACTACCAGCCAGAGTGCCAGCCGCTGGAACAATGTCCATGCCACTAAGGAGAACCACAGCTTCTGGAGCTGTGGCCGCGGAGTTAACGAGACCTCCAGCCTCTGGGAACATAACTACTGCACAAATGATAGCCAATGTCTCTGGAGGGATGTCCAAGCCATTCATGAGAGCCACCACCTCTGGAACAGTGCCCATACCTTTGATGTCAGCCATGGCTTCTGGAGACCTATCTGTGCCACTAATGAAAACCATGCCTGCTGGAGCAGTGTCAACACTGCAAAGCCAAGTTGTGACCTCTAGATCTATGTCCTTGCCACAAACAACATACACAGCTTCTGCAGGGATGGTGAAGCCACCGATAAGAACCTCAGCTTCCGGAACAGTGTCCGCACCACTTACGAAAGTCTCAACTTCTGGAATGATGTCCATGCCACTACAAGAAGCCACAGCCTCTGGTGGGAGAGCTGTGCCACAAATGGCAATGACAGCCTCTGAAGGGGTGTCCACACCACTAATGATGGCCCCCACTCCTGGAACAATGTCAACACCACAAACAGCTTTTGGAATGATCCCCACTCTGGAAACTGAAGCTACAGACTCTGGAGAGGGTTCTACCTCTCATATCAAAGTTACAGCCTCTGCATCCAAGTCCATACCACACATGACTGGTCCACCCCAGGAAACCATGAAACCACCACCAAAGGAAGTGCCATCTTTTGGTATGTTGACCCCAGCACTCTGTTACCTTCTAGAAGAGCAAGAAGCAGCCCGTGGCTCATGCCCTGTGGAGGAGGAGGTAGAGATTGATGACGAGAAGCAGATGAAGGGCTTTTTGGACGATTCAGAGAAAATGGCATTTCTAGTGTCTCTTCATCTTGGGGCAGCAGAAAGGTGGTCTGTTCTACAGATGGAGGTTGGAAACGCCCTCTCAAATGAAAATAAATCCTTTCTGAAGCGATCACAGGGCATATATAACTCTCTGTCTGAGATAGACATCCTCAGCGCTGTTCTTTGCCATCCCAAGCAGGGCCAGAAGTCAGTTAGGCAGTATGCCACTGACTTCCTGCTGCTGGCCCGACATTTGTCTTGGTCGGATGCCATTCTAAGGACCAGGTTTCTGGAAGGACTCTCAGAAGCTGTTACCACCAAAATGGGTCGGATCTTCCTGAAGGTGGCTGGCAGCCTAAAGGAGCTGATAGACAGGTCTCTCTTCACTGAGTGCCAGCTGGCTGAAGAGAAGGATTCCCCAGGCAACGCAAGCCAGGTTCTGCCGATGAAAGCCTGCAAGAGGAGTAATGAGGAGGCCATGGAGAGTGAACGGGGCTCTCAGCAGCCGACTGAAGAGGTAACGATGGGAAAATGCATGGGTGGTTTTGAGTTGAAACATGTGAAGGGAACAATGGGGAATACACCAGGAAATTATTCAACTCCTAGACCTTAACAGCTCAAACTGGAGTTTTATCAGAGAGCTGGAAGACACAGTCGTTTGGAGTATATTAACCACATTCAAGAGCAGTGTCCAATCCAAGTTACCAAGAAGCTGGGATGGATAAAGTATGGCATTCTGATTATAAGGGAACTGACAGGGTTCGTTCCCAACTCTACTTATTGTAAGTCTAGTACTAAGGGAGGGCTGTTTCTTCTTTATGTGCCTGGGTCCTCCCTATAAATGCATGTGTTGTGTAATTAGGTCATATGGAATTTGGTTAGCCTAGTCTTTATTCACACTTTTTACAAGTAAATTAGCCCAATTCTCTGGCAGGCTTGCTAACTTATTAGACTTATCCAGGGAGAACACCCTGAGTCATAAGAAGTGGTGTGTGTGTGTGTGTGTGTGAGAGAGAGAGAGAGAGAGAGAGAAAGAGAGAGAGAGAGGGAGAGAGGGAGAGAGGGAGAGAGAGAGAGAGAGAGAGCTAGTCCTGGAGCTTGAACTCAGGACCTGGATGCTGTCTCTGAGCATTTTTTCTCAAGGTTAGTGCTCTGCCACTTAAGCCACAGCTCCACTTCCAGCTTTTTGGTGGTTAATTGGAGATAAGAGTCTCACAACCTGCCTCAGATGGCTTTGACCAGCAATCCTCAGATCTCAGCCTCCTGATTAGCTAGTATTACAGGTGTAAGCCACTGGTGCCCGACTAGAAATCTGATTCTTATTTCTGCTGTTTTATTTTTTCTCTCACTCTCAGCACCAACATGTCCCCAAACGCTGTTACTACCTGAAAGAGCATGGAGACCCCCAAGAGAGTCTTCATGACCACCTTCGACAGAGCACAGGCCATCAGAAGCTACCCATCAACAAGTAGTGCTCCACACAAGGAATCTTCTCCTGTGATTTTGCTGCTAACTTCAGGACTGGTTCCTGGACCCATTCCATTCAACTACATCAGAAGCCTCGTTGCCTTCACCCTTCAGCCTCCTCCTTCAGGCATATCCCACTGTATCTCCTACTTTGTTGCCTTCACTTTCTCTTTCACCCACATGCCTGTGACCTGTCCTGACAACCCAAGTGTGGACTACAGAGTGTATGGTATATAAGGTTCTGAATTCCCATCACCATCAAGGCCAGTGCTACTGCTTGGTCCAGGGAGAAGTCTAGGCAGGAAATCATATCCTACCTCAAAAACACCTTAACAGTATCTTGCTATGTGTCATCTGGCAAACTTGAGGAAACCCTGGTCCTATTCCACCTGGCAAGGGAGCCTATAAGAGAGATACCCACTCTTATATCACCCTTTACAACCAGTAGATTTACCCTTATATGTCCCATCTCATAGTACCTAAAATGGTTCTCCAGGGCCCTTGCCCTGTTCATTGTTTCCATCCTGCACCATTTGTGTTGACCCATAATCTTAATAATAGTGATAGTAATGGCCAACTGTGAATGATAATGTGCCATGTGAAAGGTACGGTCTAAACTCTTGATAGGCACCATCTCACGACAGTGTAATAGTAACCCAACTTGTTCTTGTGTTGTTGCCTTCTGACTTCTTGATCTGTTGTTTATGGCTCTTGTCTTTCCCTGTGGAATCTCTAGCTCTGACCTCTGGGTGACCCCTTCAGTGGTTAATTACCCTCACTCCCCTTGGCTGTTGTGCTTCATGGTTGGTACTCTTGATAAGGGGCTTGGTCTTTAAACAGGCATAGTTAGTTAGAACTTAATATGAGCAGTGTTTGCCTTCAGGTGGTGGGGTTATGGGTGTTTTTTTAAAAATTTCTTCTTTCTTCTTCTTTGTATTTTCCAGATTCTCTACAGTGTGTATTTTCCAGATTCTCTACAGTGAGCATGTAATACATTTGTAATCATAAAACTAAATAAAGATCATTTATGAATAAAGAATTTATTGTGGCTACTTGTATTTGATGTATTGAGTCCTCTCAGTTAATATTCATTATCTAATCTATATCAACCACTGTTTGGTATACAAACAGATGAGACCCAAACTCATAGGACAATTCCATCCCAATGCCATAATTCAGGAAGGAGACAAACAGTAAACCAGAACTTACCTAAGTAAGATAGATTTAAATTGTGGCCAAAGATCAGGGAGATAAGGAATCAAGATAATGGAAAATTTGGTACAAATTTGTTTATCCACTAATACTCCTATAATTGGCTTACACCAAAAGCTTTCAAAAATAGTAGGAGTGATCTAACTAGATACATGTTTTGGAAAGTTAAATTGGTGACACTGGAGGCAGGATGGAAGAAAGGGTCAGAGGTAGTTGAGGCCCCTACTGCAATCAACAGGTGACAGTAGATGACTCAGTCTAAGCTGATGGCAGTGATAAACACAGATAAGATAATCACAGAACCCAAACTCTCCCTGAGTACTCTGCTGCTCAATTTGATTCCAGGAAGCAGAAAATTATTCTCTGGAAGAGCAAAGATTGGCAGACAAATTGGCAGTTCCATGGTACTGGACATATAAATCTAGCTTTGGGGGATGTGTACACATGCCTCAATTGTCAGTATCGTTGCTAAGAGAGAAAGAGAGAGAGAAAAGAGAGAACAGAGAACAGTAAGATGAGCAGAATAAATTCTAGGCAGGAGACAGCCTCTAGGGACCCAGCTTTCTGCCTTCAATCTATGTCCATTGGGTCACATCTGGCTCAGTCCAAACCTAAATGGAATGTGGGCTTCCATGTTCAACCAGGATTGCTCTTATCTCAGAAAAGCTTTGTTCAGTTTTCCCTCTATTGCAAAAGAAAGATACAGAAGTCACAACTCATGCCTGTAAAATATATACAGGAAGGAAAATATTATAACAATGAAACTGATTTTCTAGTAGTCATGATAATGGAAAATGCTAGTGATTATTTTCTTATTTTTCTCCCCATCTATTCATCTTCCTTTTGCCTTTTCCTTTTCAAGCTAGTTTCACTAGAGATAAATGGAACTAATGAAGACCAATCACACCTTGTTAGAAGTCAGTCCCTGTTCCATCCACCCTAGAGGTTATATTTAGAAATGTTTCAAGAGCTACTCAGAAGCTCCATGGAGCTAGACTATCATATACCTTAGTACTTGGGACAATTTTGTCGGCTGGAAAATGGTGTTTCAAATTTCTTCAAGCCATATTGGCCCCTATGTAAAAATAAGGTCCCTTAAGCAGGAAGAACACAGATGTCACCAATCCCTACCCCCGCCTGTATATTATAAGGACCTTAATCCTTCAAAGATTTCCTCTAGTCTATTAGAGAAGAGCCTAGAAGTTTTACATGCTCTGAAACAGTCTTTGTTGATTGGTTTTTGTTTTTTTCTTAACAACTACCCTGTATAAGAAGGTCAACAGCCCACATAGTAGCTTGGTCTTGCTGCAGCTGCTGTTGTACAGCTCTGGCTGTGGGAACATGGAGGCCCCTTGCTAGGACTGGGGGTTTGGATTCAGGGGCACTCAGATATATATCAATGAAAGGTCTAAATAGGACTGTCCTCCTGTTATGGTTTGAATAGGTTATGTTCTCAACAGACTCATATGTTGAAGGCTTGCTCCCCAGCTGGTGGTGCTATTTTGGGAAGTGGTGGAAACTTTAGGAGATAGGGTTGAGCTGATCGAAGTAGGTCACTTTGTGGGGTGGTATCTTTAAAGGCACTATCTTGCCTTGGCTACTTCCTGCCTGTTTATCTACTTCCTGGCCACTATGAGGTAAGTAGTGAAAGGTTAGAGTATTTGGGGCAGTGACCATTTGTTGCTTGTTTCAGAGCAGAGCAACAGTGGTGCTAAACCACCTGGTTGTGTGCCTTTATAAGACCTGCAAATCCTTAGCTTGGGGCTCTCCTCCTGGCCTCCGCTGTGTCGGAGTGTAGGATGAGGCCCGAGCTGCAGCCCGTTTAAATAAAAGCTTAAAACAGCTGTAGAGTCTGACTCTCGGTGGTCTTCTTGGGGGTCCTGCGACCTAGGCACAACATATTAGTGGGGGCTCGGCTGGGATCCCCCCAAAGACCCCGAAACCTGACTCCAAAGGTAAAACAGCGCTGTCTTTGTTAATTTGTCTTGTCTTGCCGTTTGTCTGTTTTACTTTCATTTTCCTTTGTGAGGACTGCTGCTCTTATTTGTAAAGGGTTGTCAAAGCTGATGCGCGTGCACCATAACCCTGGAGGAACTAGGAGATGTCCCAGATCCTCTTGTGGGGCAGGGATCCTTGAAAACCTGCCATGTGGAGCAGGGGAGGGGGTCCTTGGAACCCTGCCGTGTGGGGCGGGAGTTGGAAACCATGCTGTGTGGGGCCAAGGTCCTTGGAACCCTCGCCGTGTGAATTGTGGGGCAGGGGTCAGTTCGGTGTTGGGCCAGAACTGACCAAGAGGGCCTCCTAACCAAGGCCCAACTTGCCAACTGTGGGTCTGCTCCTTCTGCTGTGGGGCATGAGTGTGGAACCCCACCGTGACAGGAGTCTGGGGACCAATTCAGGAGATCTCCACTTCGTAAGCTTTTTTTTAACTGTCAGGCCTGCATGTGTTTTGTTTGTACTGTTTATTGTTTTTTGGACTGTACAACTGATGGGACTGGAAACCATGGGCACCACTCCATCTAGCCCCCTAGACTTACAAAAAGAAACTGAGAAAGAGGAAAAGAAAAGGTACCCCCGGTTTTTCAGGGAGATAACTTGGAAGAAGAAATGTTTCCTCCCCCATACTCCCCTTCCCAGGTTCCTTTTGCAGAACCTGAGAATGATCAAGAGGAGGAGGGAGCTATAGAAGCCTTGGCACCTGCCCTTAAAGTTTCTGAGGGGCCAGTCACTCGATGAAGCCGTGGGATCAACCCCCCTTCCAATGCAGCTATTTTTCCCTTACCCACCCTAGGTCCTGTGGATGCAGATGGTCAACAGCAACTCCAATATTGGCCATTTTCTACCAGTGATCTATAAAATTGGCACACCCAAAATGCCCCCTTTACTGAGAAACCCCAGGATTTAATTCGTTTGCTTGAAACTATTCTCTTTACTCATCAGCCTACTTGGGATGATTGCAGTCAGCTTTTACAGATCCTTTTTACCACCAAAGAGAGAGACCGTATCTGAGAGGTGGCCCGGAAACATAGCCCTGGCCCCACAAGAGCGCCCATCACAGATCCTGCCCTGATCGCTGCCCATTTTCCTGAGATCCAACCAACATGGGACTACAATACGGTTGAAGGTAGGGAGCGACTCCTCATCTACTGCCAGACTCTGTTGGCAGGTCTCAAGGCGTTGGCTCGCCAACCTACTAATATGGCCAAATGTTATGATGTAAGACAGGGAAGTAGTGAAAGTCCGGCAGCATATCTTGAGCGGCTCATGGAAGCTTTTAGTCAAAAAACCCTGTATGATCTTGAGACCCAGGAGTCGGCTCAGATGATTATGTTTGCCTATATAAATCAAGCTGCACCAGACATAAAGCAAAAGTTGCAGGCTCTAGACAGATTTGGTGAAAAGTCTATTAGGGATCTAATAGTCGCAGTGAAAAGGTTTAAAATAAGAGAGAGACAGAGGATCAAAGACAGGAAAGCAAGGACAGAGAATGTGAAATTGAGCATGAAAAGAGAGACCATGCCAAGGAAAAGAGGCCAGAATTGTTGGACTCGCCACTATCACATGCTGAGCATACCTGGTTCACAGACGGCAGCAGTTTTATATGAGATGGAAAAAGGTACACAGGCACAACAGTCACCACAGACACTGAGATAGTGAGGGCAGAAGCACTCCCCCAGGGATTGTCTGCACAAAGAGCAGAACTAGTGGCACTAACAAAAGCCCTACAAATGGGAAAAGGGACTAAACATTTACACGGACAGTCGGTATGCTTTTGCCAGTGTGCATGTCCATG